ATCAAATTGCATGTTATTTTACATAACACTGATTCAATGAAAGAATTTTTCAATATACAGGACCATAACCTGATGAACGTAGATTACACACATAAGCATTATGATGATACCCATCTGATACTGTCCACACTTTGCCGTCGCAAGAGAACATTAATAAAACAATAAGCTAAAAACATTAAACATTTAAAGATTAGTGTGAAAAATGATCTTGTATATAATGATTGTTCAGATTAAATGTGGGTCAATTTTAGTGTCACTGTAGATTACGAAACTAGACGTAGCAGTACAGATACTGCATCCCATAGGATTGCTACATGTGTGAAACTTTTAGTTTCTGTTTCATTTTTTTTTTTGGTCCTTTCCCGAACTATTCTACGTGACCTACGTTAGTCATGTATGTCTGAGGTATAAGGTCAGGTTATATGCCACCTGGGAGGGGGCCCTCGGAGCTGGTTGACTGTAGACTTTAATCTAAGATTAGCTCATACCCAACCAAGGAGCACTGTGAGTCATGTTTACTGTTAGCACATTCGAGGCCTCTACTGATGTAATTCATTCTACCTCTGCTTATTATGGCATTGAAATGATTAATACTAAAAGAGAAAGGTAACACGATGTTGAATGTACACTATACTGGTATCAGCTGTTTATTATGATTCTATAATTCAAAAATAAAGGTTGAAAAAAAAAAAGGTTAAAAGACTGATAATTAAAATGTTGAATTCTTTGCTTTTAATTTAAACAAAATCCTGTTAGTGTCAGGATTTTGTGTGGTTGATAAATTTGAAAAAAAAAACAAACCACACTTTGAAAGAAATAAAGTTGATTACATTGGTTGGTAGCATGTAAAAATGTGCTTCAAATTATTAAGAGACCTTGGTCAATATTTAATAATAATTATTAGCACAGGCTTAGCACATTTGTTTCATAATTTAGTGTCAAATATAACCTCTACTTGAATTTTGACAATTATAGTAGGATAGGAAGTTGAAACATGTTTGTTCCAGTTACCGTCAAAACAACTTCTGATAGTAGTAAAGTATATTACACTACAGCAGAGTGCATACTTCCACCCTGTGCCTGAATACCAACAATAAGCAGGTTGTGCATGATGGGTCAAAATGCAGATCCTCAAGAAAATAATGGAATTGCCCATTGTATTCATTTACATTATTTGTTTGAGTGCTGCAAAGCACTGGGGTATTTGTCTCTGGAGGCCAATTAGGAAAGGATGTTATTCATAGACCCTTGTTTAATAGCAGTGGAACAGGCCCGCAGCCTAGGGGTTCAGGGCATGGGGTCAAGGGGGCCTGCCGAAGAGCCCCGGTGTGGTCAAGGGTGGCGAAGCCCTAGTAGGGGCCGGGGCCGAAGTCCCAGAAGTTGGAGTTTTTTTTAACTTTTAAAGTGTGTATATGGCATAGGCCTATAGTTAAATACCTCTTGCAGTTTAAAATGAAATACGTTTTTATAATTATCCAATACAAGGGAGAGTTCTAGTATGTAGGGCCTCTAAAGTAATAACGATCACTTCTTTTCAACACAGGATTTGAAGACAGTTGTCAACGACGCACAGTAAAAACACTGAAATTTAAATTTGAACATCAATATTTATGATAAAAACAACAAAGTAATTTTTTTTTTCTGCCAGAAATACTCTAATACTACTATACAATAATAGTAATGTAATTGCTTAAGTCACAAGGGTTTGCTTGTCAAAGGGGGCTTTGCTAAAAAAGGGGGTTTGGGCAAACCCTCGGGAACCCCTGGCTACGGGCCTGCAGAATCACCGGATGTAGTGGAATCTCCTGACCCTGACGGACAGGCCAACACCTTTGGCCACTATTAGTTACACCATAAAATGAAAGGTAAAATAGCACCTAGACCCCGTCTTCCACCAGAAAATGCCATATCTCCTGGTCAGATGCCTTCTCACCCACCTTCTCCACACACACCATATCTTAGAGACACCACTGTGTACTTGTAATTTTATCATTTTTTTAATCCTCAATTAGCGTATTTACAAAAATTATACCAACAATAGCTGAAGGGATTCTTTAAGACAAGGCAAAATAAATTACAGAATGTAAAGATCTAATTGTTTAGGAAGTATGACAAACATCTATGATGCAACAGAGGTACTCTTTAATCCCTCTCATTACATCAACCAACATACTTAATCTGCATCTGTCAGAAAATCAACAAGCACATCATATTTATTAAGTACAGTTAAGTCCTACCACTCTACCCTCACCACCAAATTCAGCATGTCTATCCATTCTATTAATTCTGACATAATTCGATTACAATATTATATGCACATGTGAATTGCACTGGGAATTTAGGAGAGATTAGTTATAGATTTGAGCACACGTCCTAGAAATTAACTCATGGTCATTGCAAATGACGGACCATCATTATTTGATGACAATCGCTTAAAAAACAAATAACCCACTGAGATGCAATGTAAAAAAAAAAAAAAAAAAGGGATGAAATATTAAATTATGTAAGGATTGATTAGATTTCTTTGGTTCACAAAAGTCCTTGGTACCTACAGTATTTCCAGTGGGTTACTTCTGGTGGGAGACAATTACCTACTCTTTCCTGAAGAGGGCTTCATCCTTGCATGACATAAGTGAAGAGTCTACTGTGTTCTTAACATGCGCATAGGACCAACAGTATAAATATCTCATCTGAAAGATGCTAGTGCTCTATTGAAATTTGCATTTCGTCCATCCAGCTGAAACACAAGGAGAGCATTGGATGGAACTGAACCAGGGCCCCAAGTTTTGTAAAGATCTCCACAATTCAGTACACACAGTGGCTACCACCAGTTTAGGCAACATAACTAACTGACCTATTATCATGTCTATGTGATGTTGCTTCAACAAGAATACTGTACCGAGTTACTTTCATTTTACTTTCAATTCTATAATTAACATTTTACAGCCCTTGTTGGGCAATCATCAACTTCAGTATAAAGCTACATCCTAAACCTGGACAATGCAATACATCTGATTTTAAATGTCCTCCTTTATGTAGTAGGGTATATTTTTTGTATTTTTTTAGTTATATTAAGTAACATATTGTTTTAGCCTGTAGGCGAATGACCCCTTGAACATTCCATTTCCTATAGTCAAACCATGGAGGTATAACGTACCTGTGGTTCGGTGTAGGAAACACCTTGTCAACATCAAATGATGTATTACCGGACACAGGAAATAGGGAAGGGACAGCGACTCTGGGTGTTGTCTGAGGCTAAAGGACCAATAATAATTGAGCGTTTGAATGAGTAGGGTGGAGCCAGATCCCCCTACATATACCTAGAATATCCAGAAAAGAAAAAAAGACAGCAGAGAAGAAGAAAAAGAAAACACTGCGAGATCCTGATCGGAACTCCAGGACACAGAAGTATAATCCTATAGTCAGATAGACTCAAGATAAATGTGCATTTTTTTCTAAAAGGCTGTACAATTTTGTTGTCGAAATATTAAAAGATCACGATACTGTTTTCTGTAATCCACACCAGAAACCAGACAAGTAAACTGGAAGCAAATACAGCACTATTCGATTTGGCTACAGCGTATCTGTAACTATATTTGCTGTTGGGCTTTGTTCCTGAACTTTTCTTCGAACTTTCCTACTTCATGGATTTCGCTGATTTCACTTTATATTCTGAATTCTATTTTTTATTTGGCACGTGAGTACGGTTAAGGTTAAGGTAGGCTGGTTAAGTTTCCCTTTATTGTAAGTCCCCAATAATCCCCATTGGAAAATAAATAACTCATTAATAAGTGTATAATAGAGAGGCGTCTGTTGTTTTATTTGTGGCTATATATATATTAACATCTACCGACTGAGCCTGCGCATAACTGGAACTCGAGCCTCAACGATAATTTAAGTGACTATTCGCTTACTTACAGTGGTGGTCACCCGCTACATTTAAATCATTTGTTGACTACTACATTTACTCAGAGACAACTAATATAAAAATTTACTACTACTACATCACATGTTCACATGATCTTTAAACACAACACATGTTCAGGGCACACCTCAGCAATAAGGTTGCCTGAATCTGAATGATGGATAGTGCTTCATTCAAAATTTCAATACTGCTCGTTTTATGTAGCATACACTTATGGCTGTTTCTATGGCAACATTAGTCATCACATTCATACCAAAGACCTGGGATGTTAGCCAAGTCACAACCCACCTCTCTACACAGCACTTAACATCTAAATCAAACCTATGAATTAAAATGATGCTTGAATAACATCAATTAATATATTTCATATGAGTACTAATTCTTTTTCCTCTGAAACTTGGATTACAACCAGTGTTAAACATTAGCAAACTTGAGTTGGCGTCTGTAATACCACATGTCTACATGAAAAAGAGACAAAACATAAATCTGATGACAAGACATCAACATGTTAATATCATCAAGGGCATGCAGCCCTTGGATTAACTATATCAAAATATTTTTATTTTGACTGAAACAGCTTAGAAAAAGGCCCCAGGAGGGCCTTGATATTTTCAGGGATACAATTTATCCATTTTATTTGCCGAGTAAAGTTCCTATCAGTATTCATGCCTCCATGTTAAGTCCAACTAAAATTACTGTGTAATCTAGGCCCCAGGGAATTTTTCAAACTACTCTACCAATAACTTTATAGACAGATAGAAATCTTTCTTTATTCTTGATACTCAGTCAGTATTGTTACACTGTTCTTCCCTGAGGTCCAGGGTATTATGTTAAACTACATTATATAACAAAATAAAATTAAAAGAAAAATGCATAAAAATATATATACTGTATAATATATAGATTATATAAATAATAATAATAATAATAGTGTAGTTTTATATAGTGTACATGTCCATCTAATGTAAAAATCAGTTAACTATTCAGGAACAGTGCCTGATAAGCATTTAAATGTCATTAAAAAATATTATGTTCCTATTTTTGGTTTACATCCATAAGGTCATTAACAGGTGTTCTAATATCAGCATGCAAAATAATTCTGGCTAGTCTATTTAGTAAAACCTGGAGTGAATTAAGGTGTGCAGCTGTGCAATTGGACCATACAGTACTGCAATAATTGAAAAAAGGTAATACAGAAGAATTTGCTAAAAGTTGAGCACACATGTTTAGCACACCTTAGGTGGGCATAAAATCGGTCTGATGGCCAAAGTGAATTTTTGATTTAACACTGAGGGCCGCATTTTGACTACCTGTGCCTTAGCATCATCCCACCATCTCATGGTGCTACACCCTCCACAGAGAAAGATGGTACCCTGAACTTTAGTAGTCAACCACCCTTCCCGGGGATATATAGCCCTGCACTTGGATCATGCTATTTTTATTACGGTATTAAAAAACTAAATTGAAATATGTTATTCAAAGTATTAAAGTCAGGCTCCAGAAGAAAATAAATTGTACAACTGATTTTTGGAAAAGGGTTTTGAATATTTAAAAACTGAGGAAAAAGGGACGTAACAACTATTTTTCCACCTTTTCCACCAGTTTTTTAGTAAGTTTTTGTCAAACACTCTTTACTTGTCTTAGAAAAATCAGTACAACATATCAAAACAATTTTTTTCTCTAGCTTTCATGGCCTCCCGAAATCCCCTTCAATTAAATTATATGATATTCCTTATCTGATGTTCCTAACTAACATAATTCAATAATGAATAATCAATGTATCTTGTGTAAATATCTAATGTTTTTCCTGACACTTCAAGGCAATCCCTATAGCATCAAATTAAAGTACCCTCTTTTCGTTTAGCACCTCTGTACCTGTCACTCTCTTACACTCACCAGACCGTAACAGCGAGTCACATCAACTAGAGCATACCAAACAGTTGGGAATAAAACTGGGACAACGGATGGAAGCTGCCTGAAGGGGGGTCAGTTATAACTCCCAGGAAAATTAGACATCAAAACTAGCCAAAAAACAGGTCAAATATGAATAATGGTGACAAAGATTTATTTTTACAATCTTTGTTCAAATCAATATTATCACAAGCCGATTATGAATCTGTGTATCCTGCACAATCACATATGTGGACCAATTATATACAGTAGGTCACAGTAATGGCCATCCGCAATTTGTTATAATCATAGTAACTGTGGCATAATGGCTATGAGCTGCCAGGGGCCCTGCAGCCTCAAGAAGCCGCCAGCAAATTTGAATAATCTTTTTTTTTCAAATCTGAGTTAAAATTAAGTATGCCTTTTTATGTCAAATCACAATACTGTACATAAACTCAGAATTCAAATGCATAAAAGAGGCATTAAAATGTGTCATTGAACGCTAAAAATGCTGGAGCGGCTGGGGGGGGGGGCTTCACTGCCAAACACCCACAGGGCCTTTGCCCCATCCCCCTGAGACTGGGGCCCTAAAGGGCCGCCAGGCTTCGCCACTGCATGGTAGCTATCAATATTTTTTCCATATTTCCATATTAACTAGTGACAAATCAGGAATATGTATTGACCATTCAAGATTTAAATGTGTAGTGTGATATTTTGTGGAATATTTTATTGCTAAATTAAAGATATCAAAATATAATTAGGCATTAAATGTTGATTAATGTATTATAAATCATAACATTAATTTTTTTAATATGGAAATAATTTGTATGAAATTTAAGACAAATTCAACATTTTCATACTCTAAAAAACATACAATCAACACCATAGAACCATGAGTTCTAAACTGATGTTAATTATTAACATTGAATTCCCAAATGACTCAAATCCATTCCATGAAATAAAACTTCAAAATCTAAACAAGGGCACATTATTGTATTATAAATCATAACATTTATTTATGTATTATAAATCATAACATTTATTTTTTTAATATGGAAATAATTTGTATGAAATTTAAGACAAAATTCAACATTTTCATACTCTAAAAACATACAATCAACACCATAGAATCATGAGTTCTAAACTGATGTTAATTATTAACATTGAATTCCCAAATGACTCAAATCCATTCCATGAAATAAAAGTTCAAAATCTAAACAAGGGCACATGAAAACCATCTAAGTTCATTGGCATGGCCATGCAAAGACACTTAGAACTTTTGTCCAGATTCTGAAGTTTCTAGGACTCAATTAAACAACAAGGAGTATTCACAAAGGTCACAGCTGCAGTAACTGGAATATGACAGGAAAATTTGTCATTTTCTATAGGTGCCAAACGTGATGAATATGAATTGTATTGACTTGTGGATAGCAGTGGCAATGCAGTGGAACCCTGAACCCTCCATGGGAGACGATGCCAATCATTTTATCAGGAAACACTGCTTTGAAAAAGAATTTCTGTGAATTCAATAGTTTCTCCAACCATATTGGACTGAGGTGTGTATGGACCCCCTGTAGGACATTTTGGACCTCTTGTTGAAAAAATTGGATCATTTATGAGAACCTTAACCTTAAGACTCCTTTTGGCACCCCCACTGGTGGGTAGACAGCACGACCACAACATAATGTTTCCAGTTATAGGTTAGTCGTTGCCAAAAATCCATGTTTGGGTGAGATATTGTAGACAATGTGGCTGAGCAGTAAAGTTTTACACCCTATTCAGACTACACTTCATTGCGATAGGTTGCGAGGTAATTGGTAGTAATCCAAAACTTATTAGTCCCGATTGCAATCAACGAGCGCATTCAGAACAACACAAAAACATTGGAACGGGAGGTGAAACAGTTCTAGGGCCTAGGCTTCCGTTGGATAGGCCTATGTTAACTGACCTCAGCCAATTAGTGCCTGTGGAATTCTGGAGTAATAAAGATACCCAATTGCAACGGGTAACAATTGCGATATCGATTACTATTGGTGAGCTTCTACACACGATTGTGATATGCGACTGGGTGTTACAATTGCTACAGCCAATCGCAATGTGATGCTAGTTTGAATAAGGTACAAGACTTGTAACTGAATAGTTGTGAATCTGGGTTTAATGCTGGCGAGTATCTAATAATAATGTCATAGGGGACACATGTACATCCCAGACAGCTACTCAGTGACTAAGTTTACCTTTGGTTTTTTTCCCCCATAACATATTGACAAGCTGTATGTCATTAGTTGTATGATTAAGAACATACTTTATATCTAGGAGTTCCACATGCTAACTGGATTTTAAATGATGTCTATATCTAGATGTTATGTCTATTGGAGTGACAATCTACATTATAATCCTAGGGTTCTTGCATGTAACTGTCAGAATTTTTTTTTCTAGTGATATTAAAAATGCAAATCAATTAAGATTTCATGATACTATATTTTCATATATATTAGATATTTGTTATTTTTACATACTGAAATTATTTTTATCATGAAAAGTTATGGAAATAAAATACTTTTGAGACAGACACCTATCACATAGCAACTAGCATGGGGTATCATAATTGAGAAATAAAATCTTGGGAACAACCTGGAAACCAGTTCTAAATATCAGGACCTACTGGCAATGTTTACTTATACTCTTGGGAACCTAAATACAACACCAATTAAAAATGGAAAACAAAGAAAATTCCTGAGGAGAAATAATGTAAAGCATGTTTTTTTTGTTGACTTTTTGTAGGGTATTATAAATTTTAGTATATTTGCGAAATGGAGGCATGAATTCAGAAGTCAGGGAGGCAATTTAAACTCAAGCCTAAAGTAGGTTGGTCTTGAAGAATAAAATTAATACCAAAAAGTAATTATAATAGGAATATTTAATAAGAATAATGTAGGCCTAATTAGCAACAGTAAAAGCTAACCAATATAAAGGTTTATATAGTGTTCTCAAAACTGTGGTATTACTTATCCCAAGTATTTTCACTCTGAAGTGTTTTTGACAATATATCATCCTGCTTTCTGCCTGAAATACCTCAAATCATGGGTTACATTTTGCAATTTGCAAATCTACCCTTTCAACCTCTCTGGGTAACCCCTCCAGGAACACACGTACAGATTACACTAAGTTATAATAATTAAGGTGCAGGCTTTGAAATGACATTTAGATTTCAGTTTTCAGATCTGTCCTGTGTCACAGCTTAAGAGTTAAAGTAATTAAGCCACTGAATTTACAAATCATTACATTCAAGATTTTGTCAAGAAAAGCTTGTCCCATGCCATTACAGACCTACCTCTATAAGAAAGGTCAAATCAAAGTACATTTTTATATTGTAAAATCTTTAAAAAGGGTGTATTTTTCCAATATAATACTACAGTAATAAGTTTCTAAATAACACTGAATTGGTCATTAAAAATAAATAAAAAGTTATCAACTTGCTGAGATACACTGACTAAAACCAGGGAGTTGCTAAACAATTCAGTTTTCACTATTTTTCAAAGAAATTGTTTACTTTACTATTTCTTTTGCTGGTGTCCTTGGGCAATGCACTTTTTTCTGTGTTTTTTTTTTTCTCAACCCAGAATAGTTTTCCAGTAGGATGTTATGGTACTGAATGAATTGCTCTTTATTTTGCATTGAACTGTACGAATGATCCCCAGAGAAAAGTGAAGGTAGCACATTACCCATGTTTGCCAATTTGGAACTACTGACCGTAGGTAAAAGCAAGCACTTTGACAGCTGTTTCCGGATTCTAAAGGCTTTATCAAAACCAAACTTCACTAATAATAATATTAAATATAATATTCGGCTCACTAATTACAGAATGGTGAACATTGAAAATTTGTGATGAAAATTAAATAATGCTTTGAAAATATGTTTGTATTGTTTGTTTTCAATTAAAATTTTTAATTAAACAATCACAGCTTGTTTTGTACAGTGTAATATAAATTATTCTCGGAGGCATCATTGCATAATTTTAATAGATTTATTTACCTTACAATATGGACATACACAATGTGAAATGCTATAGCCCTTATGTTATTAAACTTTTTATAATATTAATATTATAATTAGAAAATGGAGGTGATAACAAACCAATAACAAATGGGAGGACAGAGAAAAGAGTAATTAGGAGAAAGGGAGAAGGTCATAACAAGAGAATGAGGAGAGATGAGAAAGGGAAATGTGAAGGATAATGACTCATAGTTTAATCATATGGCAATACTAAAAATATAACCATCAAAATATGTGTTAAAAATCATTGACTTAAAAGTTGAGCCACTAGGGTAGACTACACTCTCAGAAGATGGCATAGTGAATTATATGCTACATATCATTACATTTAATTACCATGTCAAATGTTTCACTAAACAATGTTCAGCATATAGATGCTCCTATTGGCTGAATTTTGTACACAATATGACATGGTCCTAATGGGATTCATCATTGACTGTCACTTCTTAATTTTTTTTACATATATTGCGGCTAAGGTTATGAATATATGACCCTTTAGCATAATTTTTCATAACCTCAAATTGTATTATACCGATCCTCTTTGACAAGCACAAGCACATGTTTTCATAACAAGCCTTTTCAGTTATCGAACTGTTACAGAAATGTATATGAGGGGTTACAGATAAAAAAAAATTTGAAAAAAAAATATGATAGATTATAAAATAATAATGGCACAGAGTCATCAACAGGTGGTACATATTCGTCAGGAAAGGTAAATAATGAATAAAAAATAAAATACAAGAAAACATGTTTAAATTAAGGGAGAATTGGATGAAAGGAACCAAATGAATACTTTAATTTTCAAATGTATTAAACGGTCAAAGCACTTTTTGGTACATGACCCAGTAGCAATTTTTAAATTGAATTTTTAAATTTTTAAATTGTCTTAAAAGACACAGTCTTATCCATGTTCATGTTGGTAGAAGTTTGTATTGAAAACCAATAAGCACTAACTAAATTTGGCCTACTTGTCTGATATGCCAATTATCTTTTAATAATTTAATGTATTTAAATAATTGGTATATAAGATATTGTTAAGACATGGTAAAATTACTCATATTACTAAGGCATAATTAGAAATTAGTGACATGACTATAAAAAAAAAAGATATTAAAGCAAAAGTAATTGATTTTAAATTTAAAGTTTATTTCTGTATTTAATAACTCTGTATAGTAATCTCAATTTTTGGCCTTTGAGAGATAAACACATTTTGATGATAAAAGCTTTGACTGTGTGTAGACGAAATAAAATCTTTATTCCCTTATCTTGCATAATAACATCTTTAAATCAAAAGAGAGGAGCTTAGCTCAGTCGGCTAAACTGTTGGTAGCCACTGTGTGTGCGCTGAACCGTGAAGTGCTCTAGGTCCCCGGTTCAATTCCCATCGCTGCTCTCCTTGTGTATCAGTTGAGGGCTGAAATGCAAGTTAAGATAGCGCACCGTCTTTTGGATGATAAGTTTAAGCTGTGCGTCCTGTATACTTTATAGCACGTGTGCACATTAAAGAATGCAGTACGTTATTTGGAAAAGAGTAGGGGATTGTCTCCCGGTGTACCACCAGAAGGACACCACTGGAAATAAGTCTTCTGTAGACTTTCGTGGGTTATCCTTGGTGTTTACACCGAATAAATCCATCCATCCATCCAAGCCAAACCAAAATCCATCAAATGTATTCTTCCAACAAATTGAAATTTATCCTTCCTTTCTATCATATCAAGAAAAAACTACATTAACGAAAACGAAAAAATTAAAGCTTAAGAATGACTTAATATAACTAAAAATGGCATAGTAGAGGTTAACTCTTTAAGCTGGGATGCTTGTTTCAGAAGGAGTCCCCAGTGATAAAAAAAAATATAACAAAAATTGAGAAGCTCAAAAAGTAATACTTACTATAGTGGATTTCTTTAAGCAGTAACAACATGCCCTGAAAAATAAATAATAATCAGCGTCAGGGATCAGTAGTATAGTTTCCGTTAAACTGTTGAAGGTTCGTTAACTAACTGGTTCAAATTCAAGAGATAAAAATCTGAGGAGAGGCAATATTTAGAACTTTTTAAATGTTAAAATGGGTGACTCATTTTTTATAAAATAGGTCAATTGATGTTTCTTTGGCATACTTTCATACTCTAAAATCATCTATTGTATTATGTTGAAAGTATTTTTTCACCAATTATTCTTATTAACACACAGTATGACTGTTTTTTTCTTTAGGAAATCCGAAGACCAATACCATTTCAAATAAGTTTAAATTTTTTGTTCGCATTCAAAATGTGAAAACTGTAGCTTTGACAATACTCTTAAATTTAGTAAGTCAACCGAAGTTATTGTGGTTGCAGTTCAAAATATTGTGGTCTAGAAAAAACACAATTTTTACCATTCCTGAACCATAAAATCGCTTCTTAACTCATTATCAAAGTTATTCTACTCTGGGAATGTGTAACCATAGCCTACTAGATGGCTTCTTGGTTCAAACAGTATATCAACAGATTTGTTGGACACTCCTCTCAAAATTTTTTTTAGAGCCATAAGTTTGGACAAAAAAAAAATATAATGCCTGATAAATGATAGATAAGGAAAAAAATTGCAGAGCTCCACTCTGATCATCGTCATCGTCATCATCATCATTAAGTCTGTGCCTGTCTCTTATACACATCTAGATGTGTATAAGAGACAGATATATATGTACATACCAATGTCCCAAATAACCATTATAATTCTTTTACTTTTCAGAAGCTAGCTATGAACAAGTTTTGTAAACAAAAGGATTAATATGAAATGCGAAGTTACCTTTCAAAATACTTAAGTAATTTTGACATTTCACATTGTAATTGTATTTCATCAACCATGTCCTGGAACCAATTAATTTTAAATCACGCATGAGAATCCAAATCCATCAACAAAAAGAAACAAACACATCGAACAAAAGATTAAAGTGAGCAAAACAAGTACTTGCTTTTCAGGCAAAGAAAATTCAACATCCTTAAATATTTCAAAAATGATTAAACTTACAGGAGATTTGATCATCAAGAGGATTATAGAAAGATGATTTTTATTAAGTGGATAATCCAGGCATATTAAAGTGACTGTCCCAATACACAATAGTTACGTGTACAGTGCATCCGAACAGTTAGCTGTCACACTTAGATAAATAAGGTTATGTCCATCCACTCAAAGAATTGATACTTCAGGATGTTTATGTTGTAAATCAGACAAAAAGGATGAATTTGAAGTCTCTAATATTATGACATTTGGGAATCCTGCTTTAAACTTTATTTCAAGAATTATATCCATAGGAAGTCATTACTCATAGCGGTTTTCTCAAGAGTGGACGGTCATTTTCACTGCAAAACTCAGAGTGATTGCCATGCAGTCAACCTGTAACAAGTCCATGGGGAGGTGGGGAAAACTATCAACAGCATGGCATGTGCGTGTATATCTGTACTTGTGTGTTGAATGTACAACAGTGTAGAGCACGGAGTTTTGTTGATACTAACTTTACTAGCTTTTTTCAGGAAGAGATAAAATAATAACTTCAGCAAGAAATTATTTTCAGTGGATAAGTATCAAGAATCAATTAGAAGAATCTATTATTATCACAGTTACATTTAATAAAAATATAAACAATGCAATAAATTAATTTGAAGTACAGTATCTATTCTAAATATTAAGACACAATCTAGACAGAATACTATACGTTTGAATAAAATAATATCAATATACTGTACTTATCTCTAGTCACATGGAATACAATAAAATAAAGAATAATCAACAATTAATCTGTAGGCCTACTGTACATTGTCTTTATCAAAAAATGTCCAAATAAATGCATGATTAATTTTTCTTTTTTGTAGAATGTGTCAAATTATATGAGGCCCAAGACTAGATGTTGTAAAATTGTTAAATGATCCATATAATTTTAAGAGGAATTGGAGCAGATCTTTTAGCACCTCCAGTCAACTTTCTTGAAATAAAAGATATCACACTTATCCCAGCCCTTCCGTTTCACATGATAGATCACAACTAGGTCAGTAAAGACAAGACAGCGAAGTATCGCCAAACTGTCATTGGATATTATCACTCATCATGAGGATGTGAAGATAAGAGAACGACAACGAAAGGAAAGTCGCCAAAATGGCTTCATCAAGGACAGACATCTTTAACTTTAGTACAGACAACCTTTGACTTGTATCATCAAATTAAATGAGGAACTCTTGATTTGAAAGATGCTAAATAGAGTCGACAGCTACTATCTAGAAGTGGTTGGCACATCGATTGTGGCTTGGACTCCAACCTTGAGGTCAGGGGTTCGAAACTCTTGCTGTGCAAGTTGCTTGTGTCCTTGGGCAAGGCACTTTATCTACGTTTGCCTCTCTCTACCCAGGAGTATAAATGGGTAGCGAACGACTAGGGACATCCCCAGGGAGAAGAGGAAATTGCACTTTTGTGCTGGTTTGCCAATGTAGGTTATCCAGTGACCAAGGGTAATAACGCTCGTGCCTTTGATTATTCTTGGAATTGGTGCCTTATAAATGTTTGAGTATTATATTACTACAGAATAGAATTGGTTGCGAAGATGACTTTTCATTTTATTATTGTTTGTGACAGGCTCTGTTTGTCGCAATTTCTAATTTTATACTAGCACCCAAAACATTCAAGAATCAGAATTTTGAACAATATCATGTTTTACAGTTTATAAAAGAAGTTATATTGAAAAACATTTCTGCAAAATATCAATCACTAAGTCTAACTGAAAAGTAATTTAAAATTATTTCTAAAACACAAATCCTAATAATAAACTATAGATTTTAGAATCTTTGGAAGCTGTTTTCTCAAAACCCATTTGGTTGATATCGTATAAATTAAATATTCATAACTTTGATAATACTGAACCAATTTCCTTCATAAACACTGTTTTATAAAATTCATGCAATTGAATTGAATATAAAAATATCAAGAAACTTAATCTTAAATTTTCCCAACAAATGGTGGGTTTTGCCAGAGCTGGGTCACATTTTTCTCAGCATTTTTTGGGTAGTATTCTTCGTACTCTATACAGTACCCTAGCCAACTGTTGAAAATTGAAGTCCGGTGAATCACAAATAGAGGGTGCTAAAAATTATTAATTGGATTAATTCCATGAATTATACTGTCTACAAAGGATTAGTGTTAAATTAGGGTACAGTATGCATCTGATTATTTCACCAAGAAGTTGCAGCTTACATAACCTCTGATGTTAAGACTAACAACTCCTGTTGTTAACTCTGTCGCTGATATTAAACTAATCAATTTGCTGGTTTTAAACTAATTAAGGATACTATATGTCACTAAGATTTTGAAGTGGCTGAGTTTCAATATTAGACTATCATCTTCTGAATTATAAACTCACAATTTATAAACTTCTTGACTGGCAGTCATTTCACTTCATTTATTTGTCAATTAAAATGTACATAAACAGAAACGGCAAAGAACAATCACAAAAGTACAAAAAAAGAGACAGGACACTCTAAAAGTAAAACCAATCACTGTTGAGTGGAGGCCCTACATGAGAAAAACACAAATACTTACAATATAAAATTCTTCAAAAAGATAAAAAATCGAAAGATAAATATTGAAATATAGAAAAATGTGTAAAAATCAATAAATAAGCAAATTTAATTTAAAAGGTATTTTGAGATATAAAAATATTCAGTCAACCAAACTTTAAAGCCAGGCTCCAAAGGAAACTTTTTTAAGACACAAAAAGCATATTTTACTAAAAAATCGGAAGCGCTTAATGAGATAGATTTTTGAATATATAAAAACTGGGGGAAAAGGGGCGTAACCACTTTTTCAACCTTTTCCCCCCAGTTTTCAAATATTCAAGAATCTGTATCTCAATAACCGCTCCTGAGTTTTTCGTCAAATATGGTATTTTTGTCTTTAAAAAATTTTCCTCTGAAGCCTGATAAAATTTTGATATTGTACCAGGGTAAATACAGTAGTTAGGCATGAAACAAACATGCCTACTAGGATTATCAAAATCAAATATAAACAGGGGTGGTGCCTGTATTTTCCCAACGGTAGCCCGACATCTCCAAAGGGGTGGGACTGTGGTGCATTCAACCGAAGAGGGAGATTTCACTGATGACAGCAAGTGGGCGTGGGTTGAGTATCACTTAAAATGTTTCAGTAGAGGTCCAGGGTCGAACGCCCCAACAATTTTGACAATTTTTGGGGTTTCAAAGGCTTACTTAATCGATTTTAGAGTCTACTACTGTAATATGACTTCCCATCCCGGGGCCCCCCTGCTGGGTGCCACCCCTGAATATAAATAACAAGACTGGGCAGCACTACCACCATAGTATTCTAAATCACAAGTGCACTGGAAATGCATTGAATTTTCAAGCTCACATAAGGTATACTGCCACAATGAACATCACTGAAGATCTAGGTAGTAACAATGTTTTGAACTTTATAGAGGGCCAGAACATCAGTATAAATCAACACTGGCATTATCTTCATTTGTGTAAAATGGAAATGTTTCATCTCCACATATTTTAATTTGCAATTTTTTTCCCAATGAGGATTAAATAATAAATACAAAAATTCCTGACAGTGAATGCATAATTATCCCAGTGTCTAAAAATGAAGAAGATAATTTCATAATTTTTATCACTGTCACCTGGAATTAGGTTTACTTTTACAAGTGGACAGAAAATGTGGCTAACTTTAAACATTAATGATGTTGTTTGGAGGGGCCACAATAAAGTAAATAAATTACATAAAGTAAATAAATTACATTAACTGAAAATCAATTTAAATAATTAATACAATATGACTACGATTACGATTTATTGGGTTCACTTTCAGATCAGTGGCACCCATCACTTTGATCACACTAAGTTGTACAAAAACCTGTACTTAGTAGTCGTGTGAAATTACCGG